GTGACCCTGGGAGAATAATGTCCATCCTGGAAGCCTCAGAGAAGAAGGGGGTTGAGGGTGGGTTATGCTTAAACCTAAATCTAACCCTAACACCACAGCCTATAACCCTAACCCCTAACCTATAACCCTAAACCTAACAACCCTAACCTTGGACTGTAGACCCTCGATCCTGACACCTAAACTCTAATCTCTGACCCTGACCCTTTAACCATCACCCTCTATCCTGATTCTCCAACTCTGACCATAATCCTAACCCTAACCCTGACCCCTAAGCCCTGACACTGACTCTGACCACAGACCTAAACCCTAGCAAAGTGGATACCGAGGAATGTCTCTATAATCTCTCAAATAAACCAAGGGAATAAATCTTTATCATCTTACATTTAGTAATCGTTTCTTAGATCTGACACGAAAGTACAAGCAATGAAAGAAAAAAATAAATACATAGGATTTCCTCAAAGTTAAAAACTTTATCATATCAAAAATGCTATCCAAAAAGTGAAAAGACAGCCCACAGAATGGAAGGAAATGTTTGCACATTTTATATCTAATAAAAGTCTATTTTTAGAATGTATCAAGAAACTTACTAGGGACTTCCCTCCTGGCACAGTTAAGAATCTGCCTGCCAATGCAGGGGACACTGGTTCGAACTCTGGCCCAGGAAGATCCCGCATGCTGCAGAGCAACTAAGCCCGCGTGTCACAATTACTGAAGCCCTCGCGCCTAGAGCCTGTGTTCCGAAGTAACAGAAGCCACCACAATGAGAAGCCCGCACACCGCAACGAAGAGTAGGCCCCGCTCATGGCAACTAGAGAGAGCTTGCGTGCAGCAACGAAGACCCAACACAAGCCAAAAAAAATTAATTAATTTTTTAAAAAGAAACTTAACAACAAAAACACAAGTCAATTTTTACAACACACAAAGGACTTGACCTGACTCTTCTCCAGACAAGATATACAAATGGTCAGCAAGGACATGAAAAGATGTCAAACATCAGTAGTCATGATGGAAATGCAAATGAGTACCACGATGCAATACCCCTTCAAACACACTAGAATTGTTATTGTCAAGAAAAATAAAAAATAATGAATATTGGCAACAAGGTAGAGCAAATGGAATTTTTTTTTTTTCAGATTGCGGGCCTCTCACTGTTGTGGCCTCTCCCGTTGCGGAGCACAGGCTTCAGACACGCAGGCTCCGGATGCGCAGGCTCAGCGGTCATGGCTCACGGGCCTAGCCGCTCCACGGCCTGTGGGATGTTCCCGGAACGGGGCACGAACCCGTGTCCCCTGCATCGGCAGGCGGACTCTCAACCACTGCACCACCAGGGAAGCCCTTTTTTATTTTTTTTTCCAAATGAAAATTTTAACCATTGCTTGTGGAAATGTAAAATGGTGCAGCCTATATGTATAATATTTTGATATTTCCTCAAAAAGGTAAATGTGCAGTACGATGTGGTGCAACAATGTAACTCCTAGTTATAGACACCAAAGTATTGAAAACAGGGGTTCAAACAAAAACTTGCACATCCATGTTAAGGGGAGTGGAATATGACACCCCCATGTATGCCTCTCTGGCATAAGGATTATTTTGAAGCAATTAATAAAAAAAACACACAGGAGAATCTCTGAAATTCAAGTAGAAGTTACCCTTTTGGGGAGGGAAATTTACATTTATAATGAAGATGTCTCCCTCTCAGTACCAGGAATAGAAGGGTGACTATCTCAAGAAACTCTTATCAGTGGAGAAGGCCCGGACTTAAATCTGCATAACAACCATACCCTTTTTTTACTGTGCTTTGCCCGATAACCTCCTTTAACCTAGTTCCCCCCTCCCCTAACACCTTTCTTTTGTTTTTAGCTGAGGATGGCATTTGAGGAGCTGGCTTGGGCCATTTCAGGGACTTACTCAGTTTTCCTGGGTATCTCCCAAATTCACAGGATGTATGTACGTTATTAAGCTTCTGATTGTTTTTCTTTTATTAATGTATCTTATAGGAGTGATCTCAACTAAGAACACAGAAGTATAGAGGGAAAATTATTTTTCCTCCCATACACATGCAATTAAATACTATTTAGCAGTGGAAAGAAATGAACCATCAGCCTATGCAAACACATGGATGAATCTTACATGTATAATGCTAAGTGTGACAGCCAAAAAAAAAAAAATGCAGGAGACTGCAAACAGGAAAAGGGTTTATTTGGGATCTTAAGAATTGTGTTTGGGAGTGTCCACTGGAAAAAAAAAAAAGCACAACGTGAGAGTTGTGAGTTATGTTTTATTTGGGGGCAAAATGAGGACTATAGCCTGGGAGACAGCCTCTGAGATAGCCCTGAGGAACTGCTCTGAAGAGATTGGGGTGGGGGTGAAGTCAGTATATATGTGATTTTGGTGAAGGGAGATATGTGCAATCAAGCACACATGTTGGCAGAAGATCGCAGCTGGTCATGAGGCGGTTGCTGCTTGTCAGGAGGAGCAGATGTCTCAGTTAATGATTTTAGTGCTTTTCTTTTTTTAAAATTAATGAATTAGGCTGCATGGGGTCTTAGTTGCAGCACGTGGGATCTTTCATTTGCAGGGTGTGGGCTCTTCGTTGCAGCACACGGGCTTCTCTAGTTGCACAGTGGGGGCTCAGTAATTGCGTCGTGTGGGCTTAGTTGCCCCGTAGCGTGTGGGATCTTAGTTCCCCGACCAGGGAATTGAACCCGTGTCCCTTGCATTGGAAGGCAGATTATTAACCACTGGACCACCAGGGAAGTCCCGATGCTAGTGCTTCTCTCGATATGAGAAAATGCAAGAAATTGGGCTCATAAAATCTCCTGTCTGAAGACCTGTTCTGCCAGTTTTCCCAGAGCAGAGTGCCTCATTCCTGATCTCTACCCTGAACTCCTTTCAGGGTGTGTTTTGAGACTGCAGTGGCAGGTGACCTCATCCTTGCAGAGCCAGATGGCGAGTGACAATTTTTAGTTGGCAGGAGACACAGATTCAGGTAACCCTTAAAGAGTGTTCTAGGGAAGAGAAAGGGTCAGCGGCTTATAAAGACTAAAAGACACAAGGTTGTTAAAAGTTGCCTGGCAATAATTGTTATTGACTCTGGCGGGAGTCAGAAAATATTTGTCCTTAAGAAATCACGAGTTTTGGGGACCTCCCTGGTGGCGCAATGGTTAAGAATCTGCCTGCCAATGCAGTGGACAAGGGTTCGAGCCCTGGTCCGGGAAGATCCTACATGCCGTGGAGCAACTAAGCCTGTGTGCCACAACTATTGAAGCCTGCACACCTAGAGCCTGTGCTCCTCAATAAGAGAAGCCACCACAATGAGAAGCCCGCGCACTGCAACCAAGAGTAGCCCCTGCTCGCCGCAACTAGAGAAAGCCTGTGCGCAGCAACGAAGACCCAGCACAGTCAAAAATAAAAAATAAATTTAAGAAAAAAGAAATCATGAGGTTTTTTTTAGGGTAAGGATTGTTGCAGCAAAACTAAAAATGAAGTTTTCCCTCTCCTAAGAACAAGGAAAATAAAGGGAACAGTGAACAGGCTAGAGAAGAAACATAACCTGGCCTGAAAGAGTTAATCCTAGTTTTATTTTAACTGTTACTAATCTGTAGTGTCTGTAGTTAGAATTGTCCTTCACAAAGAGAAACTGTCACCCCCAATCCTTTGTACTTTACATTCTGCACCTGGTATTTGCTCCCCCTGTAACCTCTTGTAGCAAATCACCCCTTGTAGTTGTTTGCATTTCAGAAAGGAGGTCGCAGGCCGATAACCTGGTTACCGGGTTGCTTGACTCCAGCGGTGACTGTTTTGAAATAATGCGAGAAGAATGCATGACCTTCACTATTTTGATCCTTTTCACTTACTTCGGATTGCGAACTCCCCTATAAGAATCCCTGTAATTCCCCAGCAAGGTTGGTGGGGTGGGGCAGTTCTTGAGGCACTAGCCTACTGTCTTCCCTTTGCCTGGCAAAGAAAATTAAGCCTCGCTACTTCCTATCTTCCAAACCTCTGTCTCCATATTTTTATTTGTCTTCGGTACACAGGGAGCCAAGATTTTTGCAACAGGCTTGGGATTTAATCCTTGTAGAGGTAGATGGCAAGTGCCAATTTTTAGTTGGCGGGTTTACTGTTACCATTTTACTCTAGCCTTTGTGTAAAATTGAAAAGTCTGAAAAGAACCAATGTTTTAGAAGAAGCAGTGTCACTTGTAAACATCCTGCCACCTAACAGGACAGCCTCTTCTCCACCCATGACTTGATAAAACAGGAAGCTCTCAACACACAGGCCTGGAGAAGGTGGATTTCACAAGTCACTGTGAGTTAAAACTGTTCTAATGCAATGGAGCTACTAAATACATATGCTTGTTCTTTTTTTTTTTTTTTTTTTTTTTTTTTGTGGTACGCGGGCCTCTCACTGTTGTGGCCTCTCCCGTTGCGGAGCACAGGCCCCGGACGCGCAGGCTCAGCGGCCACGGCTCACGGGTCCAGCCGCTCCGCGGCATGCGGGATGTTCCCAGACCGGAGCACGAACCCGTGTTCCCTGCATCGGCAGGCGGACTCTCAACCACTGCGCCACCAGGGACGCCCCCATATGCTTGTTCTTAAGAAAAATTATAAAACTAACAAATCCTTTACTCCAGATATAAAAAATAAAATCTATTAATCACTACTGTAATTTGATTCCAGAAAAATAGCCAACTGAAGCAAAAAAAAACCACAGGCTGCCCATAGCACAGTCTACAATGCAGGGCGGGGGTGGGGGCGGGGCCTCGGTCCACGCCCACCGCGCGGGCGGGGGAGAATTCTCAGAAATCTCGCGATTTTGAGGATGTGGAGTAACGCCTCCGAGGTCGCGTGGGCGGGGAGGCAGGGTAAGGGGCGGGGACAATGCGAGACGCTCCTCGGTGGGGCAGAGACAGCCTCCTTCTGGTTGACGCAAAGGCGGGCCGCGCTGTGCTCAGAACTGTCGTGAAAGGGGGCGGGGCGCGCCGCGCTGGGGACTGACGTAGAGGCGCGCGTCGCTTCGGCGGCGGCTGGCGGGGTGCGGGCGCCATGGAGCGGTACTCCGGCGCCTTGGAGGAGGCGGTGGACGGAGCCCGGCAGCAGGAGCGGCACTACCAGTTGCTGTCGGCGCTGCAGGGCCTGGTCAAGGAGCTGCCCAGGTGCGCGGCCTCGGGGCGAGCGGGGTGGGCGGGGCCGCGGGCAGGCGGCTCTGCCCCGCCCCGCTCACCGCGCCCTCCTCCCGCAGCTCCTTCCAGCAGCGCCTGTCCTACACCACGCTCAGTGACCTGGCTCTGGCGCTCCTCGACGGCACCGTCTTCGAGATCGTGCAGGGGCTGCTGGACATCCAGCACCTCACCGAGAAGAGCCTGTACAATCAGCGCCTGCGGCTGCAGAACGAGCACCGAGGTGCGCGGGGGCGACGGGACGGCCGAGCTCCCCGCGCGGGAGCTCGGCCTGCCCGGGCAGTTCCGGTCTCTGCGGGCGGGGGCCTTCCGCGGATACCGTTCGAAAGAAGCCCTTGAAATTGACCGGATCGAGGGCGCGGGATCTTTGATGCCAAATGGGTCAAGTCGGTTTTACTTTGTCAGTTGCACAGTCATATTTTCGCAGGACATCCAGAAACTCTGTGCTCGCGCTCCCGCGTGCCCTCACTCCCCTTCCAGGCAGGATGGCCCGAGGCCTCTGTGCTTGGTCAGCCCACTGGCAGGTCTGGTGTTGGCGGTTGGCCGCCCGCAGTGATGCCCCGCAGTATTGACAGCTCTGCAGCGCCCTTTAGTGTCAGTTTCCTCTCCGCCGCGCATCAAGTTCCCTTGCACTGAGCCCTGAGGCACCCTCCAGAATCTGAAAACTTTTCCACTTGAGCCACGCGTTTGGCCAAAGCCTTGGGAGCCTTGGCCCCTCCCAGGCATCCCTACTGGGAATGGGAGGGGCCTCCGGAGCCCCTTCCTGCGAGGTATGCTGGTCAGCTCTTCCCGCCCCCTCAGATTTCCCACCTTTCTTATTTTTTCACCAACTTTTTATTTATTTGAAAAAGGTTAAGTATTTAGAAAAGTTGGAAGTATAATATAATGAATACTTATACGTTCTCCAGCTACACTCAGTAACTGAAGTTTTGACAAAGTTCTTTGTGTCCGTAAGTATGTGCAACACCACAGGGCTTCACCAGGGGTCCTCAGCATTCCTCTAGACCAGGGTTTTCAACAGCAGCGCTGTTGGCATTTGTGGCTGGACAGGTTTTTTTTCTTCTTCTTCTTTATTTATTTTTGGCTGCATTGGGTTTTCGTTGCAGTGATCGGGCTTCTCATTGCGGTGGCTTCTCTTGTGGAGCGTGGGCTCTAGGCGCACGGGCTTCAGTAGTTGTGGCACGCGGGCTCAGTACTTGTGGCTCGCAGGCTCTAGAGCACAGGCTCAGTAGTTGTGGCGCACGGGCGCCGCGGCATGCGGGATCTTCCCGGACCGGGGCTTGAACCCATGTCCCCTGCTTTGGCAGGTGGATTCTTAACCACTGCGCCACCAGGGGAGTCCTTGGACAGGTCTTAATGGTTCTTTGCTGAATGTTTAAAAGCATCCTTGGCTTCTAACTACTAGATGATAGTGGCACCTTCGCCCAATAATGACAGCCAGAAATGTCTCCAGACATCCTTGGGGGTCAGCCTTGGTCCAGTACTGAGAACCAGCGATCTAGAACAAGAACGCTCTCCTCTGTAACCACAGTGGATAGAAATGAATCATTCCAGGGTGTGTTCTGACATTGAGTCCATGGTCACATACCGAAACTTGTCTCAAATTGTCTGTCCCTTTATAAGGATCCAGTGTGTGGTCATGCATTGCCATTGGTTACTTTGGTCTCTGCTTCTGAAACAGTTCCCAACATTTATTGTGGTGCTGACTTTTTGAAGAGTCCAGGGTATTCTGCCTTAGAACGTCCCCACTGTGGATCTGTTGGATTGCCTCCTCGTGTTGACATTTTACCTCTTTCTCCACTTTCTGTGTTTCCTGTAAACTGGACAGCATGACGATACACACGTTAAGCGTTTGTGGCAAAAATTCCTCCTAGTGATGTGAGGTCCCTTTCCTGTGGGGGCAGATGATAGACATCTGCCCCAGGATTAGTGTGTTTCTATCAGGAATGGATGTTGGGATTTATCAGATCTTTTTTCTGCATCTATTGAGATGATCAAGTGGCTTTTTGGTTACAACGGTGAATTACATTGATTTTTAAAATTCCTGGGATAAACTGCATTCCTGGGATAAACCTTACTCAGTCATGATGAACTGTTCTTTTTGTCTATGTTGGTTTGATTTGCTAAAATCTTAAGAATTTTTACTTCTATGCTAGTGATGGACATTGGCCTGTAGTTCTCTTGTAACATTTTTGTCTGGTTTGAGTATCAGGGTGATACTCGCTTCACAGGATGAGTTGGGAAGTGTTCTCTTTGGTTCTCCAGAAGAATTTGTGTATAATTGGTACTACTTCTTCCCTAAATATTTGGGTGGTTGTCTTTGTACATATTTTTTTTTATAATTATATTATATTTATTTATTTTTGGCTGCGTTGGGCCTTCGTTTGCTGGGCACGGGCTTTCTCTAGCTGCAGTGAGCTGGGGCTGCTCTTCGTTGTGGTGCCTGTGCTTCTCATTGTGGTGGCTTCTCTTGTAGAGCACGGGCTCTAGGTGCGCGAGCTTCAGTAGTTGTGGCACGAGGGCTCAGTAGTTGTGGCTCGTGGGCTCTAGAGCACAGGCTCAGTAGTTGTGGCGCACAAGCTTCGTTGCTCCGCGGCATGTGGGATCTTCCCAGACCAGGGATCAAACCTGTATCCCCTGCATTGGCAGGCAGATTCTTAACTACTGTGCCACCAGGGAGGTCCCTGTACACATTGTTATTGAGGAATGAGATGCATACTCACAAATCCAAAGTACATACCTGATGCCTTTTAATGCTCAAATCAGGCCACATTTGGCCAGTGGAAGAACAGTGGGCTGGCTCCTGTGTCCTTTTGATGTGTCCCCATCATTCTTGGAGCATTTCTTGCTTTCTGGTACAGGAAGGTGTTCAGGCTCATCTTTTCTTGTTCTTTCCCAGCCTCAGCCCCTCTTCTGACAGCCTGCTTCCAGCTTCCCCACACCAACAACCTTCCATCAGGATGGAACTTTCCCCTTTGCCACCGTAAAACTTTCCCACTCCTCCTGCCTTTGACTGGGTCTGTGCCAAATGCAGGCTGTCAGTAAGTAGTATTTGCTCTCGTTTTGGTGATTTTTGTTTATCTCCAGAGCTTAGTAGCTCAGGGAGCAAATCAAGCGCTCAGAATAATTTTTTTTTTTTTTTTTGCGGTACGCGGGCCTCTCACTGTTGTGGCCCCTCCCGCTGCGGAGCACATGCGCAGGCTCAGCGGCCCTCGCTCACAGGCCCAGCCGCTCCGCGGCATGTGGGATCTTCCCGGAACGGGGCACGAACCCGCGTCCCCTGCATCGGCAGGCAGACTCTCAACCACTGCGCCACCAGGGAAGCCCCAGAATAATTTTTTTAAAGGGAGAGGGGGCAGCAAGGGAACAAGCCATGTCTCCATGGAGCCCTGGTTCCTTTTAGAGGGGAGTTTTGATAACTCTTCAGACACTTCGCTTCTTGTCCTTTGGAAGGTTTTGTGCTGTCAGCAGCGGGAAAGTGCCTGTGACTTTCTGCTTTTCCTTTCTCTGACTTAGCAGGTGGTGGTTGGCTGCCATTGCTTTCCTTGGTCATTGCAAAGGCCGGGCCCCCGCCCGGGCAGTGAGTGCAGCTCTCTTTTTGCCTCTGGTTGCTCACCCAGTGGAATCTGGAAGTTGACCTGAGATTTGTAGCAACGTTGATAAAAGGGGTGAAGATGACACTTCCATGCATTTATCTGTTTCCTTGCATCCTGCCTCCACACGTTGTAAATGTTAACTGGGGAGTGTCTTTCTCATCTCTTTGTTTATGGAAATGTCTTGAGGGTGGCCCTCAGCTTCAGACTCACTTAGTGTGATAAATGCCATAGTCGAGATGTGCACGCACTGCGAAGAAACAGGAGATTGGGGAACCTCAGGGGTCCTCCAGAGAAGGGCTGTAACGTGAGGTCTCTGCCGAGGACCGAGTGGTGGCCTTGTGTCTTGTAGCCGGGACCCCTCCTCACAGGGGAGATCTGGCCACTTGACACTTACTAGTCTAGGATTTTGGCTGCATAGTGTTGAGTGTTCTGTTTTGTGATTGGTCTCTTTCCATCTCATGCTACCTTTCTCTTCTGTCCAGTCCTGTACAATTAGTGGGGACTGTGGAAGCTTTGCTTGGTGGTCGTGGTGGCCCCTCTTGGAGCAACACAGACTCCCTGGCACATGGCCTCTGCCGGCTCATGCCATCTATTGAAAAATTAATCAATAGTCAATTTAAGAAAGAAATGGAAAATTTTAGTCGATCCAACCTGAGGATTCTAACCTGGAGACAGTCTTTCCAAAAGTTCTGAGGACTGTTCCAAAGAGGTGAGGAGGGAGGCCAGTATATATGTGATTTTGGTGAAGGGGTACATGTAACCAAGCATGCAGCTTGGTAGAAGGTTACTGCTATTCACAAGGAACAGATAGCTTAGTTAATGGTTTAAGTGCATTTCTAAGTATGGGAAGATGCAACAAACTGTATTCATAAAATTTTCTCCTGAAAATGTCCAAGTGTCTGAGGGCCAGTTCTGCCAGTTTTCCCAGAGTACCAAGTGCCTCATCCCAATCTTCACCCTGAATTCCTTTCAGGTACGTCAGCGACTGCAGTGGTTAATGACTTGATTCTTGTAGAACTGGGTGGTGGGCAGCATTCTCTCTGTTACAGTCCCTTCTCTTTCAGTCTTTTTTTTTTTAAATCAGTGTTACTTTATTCTTTTTTTAAAATTAATTAATTTATTTTTGGCTCTGTTGGGTCTTTGTTTCTGTGCGAGGGCTTTCTCTAGTTGCAGCAAGCGGGGGCCACTCTTCATCGCAGTGCGCTGGCCTCTTACTGTTGCGGCCTCTCTTGTTGCGGAGCGCAAGCTCCAGACACGCAGGCTCAGTAGTTGTGGCTCACAGGCCTACCTGCTCCGCGGCATGTGGGATCTTCCCAGACCAGGGCTCGAACCGTGTCCCCTGCATTGGCAGGCAGATTCTCCACCACTGCGCCACCAGGGAAGCCCCTCTTTCAGTCTTAATTTCGACCAAGGTTTGGGAGGCATTTCATGACCAATTTGTCCCACGGTGTTAGGAACGCTCATTCCTAGGTCAGGCGAGGATTTCCTTGATAGGCCACTCAGTGTGCTGTTACCAGACTAGGCCCTGTTAACTGACAGTAGCCCAAGGCCTCCGGGCCGCCTGTCCCACTAGTCTGTTACTGCCCTGTTGTTGCTTCTTCCCACATCTAGAGCTACACTATTACAATCCTGATCTTACAGAACTATATATTTGGTCAGTTGTTTCAGGTCTTCTAGTTATCATTATCTTTATTGGAGGCTCAGCCACACATTTGGTCATGAAAGAAACAATAATCTTGTAAAATAGGCAGAAATATAGCTAGTGACATTAATAAGGTCATCAGTAAGTATTTAAGCTGAGAACTCCAGCCCAGTGTCTGACCAGTCTGTTCTGCACCAATCGCTGTCTTTAAGGGAAATGATATAGTGGCCTTGTCCATAAAGTCCACCAAAGACGTCTGCACGTACAGGGCCAGTGGTGGGTCATGGTGACCCCTTACAGGACTGAGAAAGGAATGTTACCTCCTAAGGAGTTACATGCCTGGCACCAGAAAGAGAAAAATTGATCTTTGTGGTTGAGCAGGTATTTCTGCCATTGGGGAGTCCGGTTCATGCTTAATGCAGATGCACAATGCACAGCGGAGGGGAGGGAGGAGGCTCAGATAGGCAGAAAAAAAATTTTGTTTAAATGTTGCTTGTCTTAACTTAAAATATGAATTTTATTTCATCACATCCTTGGGCCCCCCAGGGTCTGTGCCCGCCTTACTCCCTCTAGGAGCCGTGGATAGGGTACAGGGTGGCTCTGCACCCCTCACCACCACCAAGGGCAGCACTGAGGGGGAGTGACTGCCACACCCCAGGGCAGAGGCCACTCTCCTCGTCCTCCTTTCCCAGGTCTTTGCCTGGGTGGTCTTTGGATGTCTCAGTGGATGTCTCTTGGATGATGGCAGGTCACGCCAGACTCCTGGCCTGTAGCCAGCATCTGAGCCTAGAAACCTCTAGACCGCAGTCTCCTCCCTCCCTATCCCCAATTCTCTGAGCTCAGGCTGCAGCCCTGGCTCCCCCACCCCGTACCATACGCCTGGCCTCACCCTTCTCTAGTGCCCTGGAGCCCTGCTGCTGGAGAAGGGCCATACCCTGGGTGAGGGCCCGCCTGAGTGGGCTGGGGCCTGGGTGTCCAGAGCTCCACCCAGCTCCCAGTGCAGGCCTCCCTCACGTCCACGCCTCTGCCCTGCTTCCCTGTGGTGGTGGGACAGGTGGAGCAAGCCCCCTCCTTACCCCTCTGCCACCTGCCGATACCCCTCTGGTCTTGTCCCCTTCCAGTGCTCAGGCAAGCGCTGCGGCAGAAACACCAGGAAGCCCAGCAGGCCTGCCGGCCCCACAACCTGCCTGTGCTCCAGGCGGCCCAGCAGCGCGAGCTAGAGGTAGGGGTGTGGGCAGGGTGGGCACCACCTGGGCTCTGCTGAGAGGGCCGTAGAGGAGGGGCTCCGGGTGGCTTGGGAGCCGCTGGCCAGCCTGGGCCTCAGCCTGGGGTGGGCCGCGAAGCCTCCATGTGCCCACATGTGGCTCTTCACTGTCGGGGGTTGGGGTGTGCTTGGAGTGGGTGGAGAGTGTGTGATCCCCCCACCTCCCCTCTTCCTGCTCCTCGAGACAGCAGCTCCTAATGGGCTGGGCCTGTACAGGGCAGGTGTGAGTGGGGTCCATTGTGCCCCATGGCCTTGGGGATGAGGGCAGTGGTGGGATGATGGAGCCAGCAAGTCCTGCTCCCACGTTGCCTGGGAACAACGCAGAGGCCCACCCATACCCAAGAAGCCACCAGTGGTGTGGTGCATGTGGAGGCGTGTGCAGGGTCCCAAGGCAGCCCCAAGCCAGGGCATGCAGGGAGGAGGTGCTGAGCCGGGCTTGGCCGCAGCTCCAGTGGGGAGGAAACACAGGCAAAGGCCCAGAGATGGTGGCCAGCTTGACAGTCAGCAGAGGTGGAGCCAGCATCTGGCCAGCTCATGGTGGTCCCAAGCTGTCAGGGCTGGGTGAGGCCTGGCACAGCAAAGGGAGGACACCTGACAGGAGGAGCTGGAGGAAGGGCATTTGGGGCAGGTCATCTGAGCCCCTCTGCAGGGTTCTGTGTGGCTAAGGAGGGACGGACGGACCTGGGTGCAGTACGGGCTCCATCCATACTGGGAGCTGGATCCACTGGGAGGTGGGGAGGGGCCAGAGGAGGTGACAGGCCAGGAATGTGTGTGTGAGGCACTGATGGGCAGGAGGCTGAGCCCCTGAGCTGCCTTCACCGTGGCAGGCGGTGGAGCACCGGATCCGTGAGGAGCAGCGGGCGATGGACCAGAAGATTGTCCTGGAGCTGGACCGGAAGGTGGCGGACCAGCAGAGCACACTGGAGAAGGCAGGGGTCGCCGGCTTCTATGTGACCACCAACCCGCAGGTCAGTGGCACAGGCCTGCCCCGGCACAGCCCAGGGGATGTTGGTCCCCAAGGCTAGATTCCATATGGGGTTTTAGCTGTTCGCTGGGGAGCCCAGGCCCAGGGTGTGTGGGGACAGGGGACATGGTGAGTTAGGGAGGCTCCAGGAAGGGTTTCTGTGTTGTGCTCAGCATGGAGGCCGGTCACACTGCCTCCACCACAGGAGGGTAAGCCATGTGACTACAGGGCATTGCCCACCTTCCCCGGGTTCTCTATGCCCTACAGGGTCTCGTGTGCAGTTCCCCTACATCCCTGCACACACCTCCATTTGTGCCAAGCCAGGGCAACTGCAGATCCTGCCACAGGTAGAGTCCCAGCACCTGCCCCTTTCTGGCAGGCGGTAGCCAGGCTTCACTGGAAGTCAGCCCCATGGGCTCAAGCCTGGTGCTCTCTAGATCCTGTTATCTGCCCCGGGTCCTTGGGTAAAGGAGGCTGCTTCCTGGGGCCTTTGCCAGGGTTAAAGGGGACCTCACAGTGGCCCCTCTGCATCCCAGGAGCTGACGCTACAGATGAATCTATTGGAACTCATCCGGAAGCTGCAGCAGAGGGACTGCCAGGTGGGGAAGGCGGCACTATGACCAGGCAGGGTTCCTGCCAGTTACCCGCTGCCCATCTTGGCTGGGAAGACAGCCCTGTCCCACAGTCACCAAAGGTAGCAGAAAGCTGAGTGGCGCTCATCTTCTTGAAAACTGGCCACCACCCTCCCAGCTGCTTGCAGGAGGGGCACCCCATGAGGAGAAGCTAGGTGGACCTGGGCTGCGTCTGCCACCCACCTTCACCTGGGCTTTTTTGTCCAAAGCTAGGGTGGGAAGGTAAAGGGAAGAGTGGGCCCAGCCTTCCAGCTGTCTGCCCCAGGCTTCCGATGTGTTCTGCTCTCGGCCCCTCCCTTGGCAGGTGCAGACCCCGAGTAGGAAAGGCTCATGAGCTGCATGTGACCCCGAGAAATAAAGACGCCTCAGCATGGCCTGCACGTGGCTTGCATGACAGCTCTGTGGTGCCTGTCGTGCCCAGAGCCTAGCTAGGGCCCTTGCCTGTGGGCTCCGTGGCCTACAGAGGAATCAGCAGAAGATGCCCCCACCCCCATGTCACAGAGGCCCCTCCCTGGGGCGAGTCCCAGGGCACTAGGGCCACATCCAGTCTGCTCTGTGGGGCGGTCAGAGCAGCCAGAGCCTGGTGTGGGTCACTGGGGCTGCTGGGGTGAAGGGCACAGAGCAGCAGGAAGGGTGTGAGGGAGGAAGAGACTGAGGATGGGGAAGCACCAAGCCCACTCTGGGGAGTGTGCTGTTTGCATTAGTCTGAGCCCCAGCTGTGGGGTTGGAGGTGAGGGTATCCAGTACCCTGTGTGGCCGGGTCTGCAATACGGCTTGAAGGCAGGTGTTGGTGGGTCCACCCTGCCCAAGGTGTGCTGGGGGCGCGTGACACAGGAGAGGCTGAGCCTGAGCGTGAGGCTTCTCGGGCCATCGGAGCCACTCCCTCTGCCACTGACTGCACGTGAGGGCTCTGCAGGGAAGAGCATCATGGGCCTGGAGTCAAGGGCTCTTAGCTGCAGAAATAGTGTTTTATTGACAGGCCTCCTTCCCCAGCCAGCCACTGCCCACCTGTGGGGCTCAGGGCCCATGGGTTGGACCCTGCAGAAGGTGGTTCTTCAGGCCCAGGGTCGTGGGGGTGGGCAGAGATGCAGCCATGCTCGCTCACTGGAGGGCGGTTTCTGACAGTTCCCAGCAGCTCTGGCAGGTAACGGACATAGCCTGCACCTGGGTGCCCACGGGCAGGGGCCAGCGGGGTCTCACAGTTTGGGATGTAAAAGGTGTTGTGTGTGAGGCTGGGGTCGGGCTGTAGCCCTGGGTGGTTGCAGCCCAGGTGAGGATGCGCTGGGACGCGGCCACAGCACTAGGCCGGGCGGTGGAAGAGGCTGCCCGTGCGGAGCCTCCGCTTGAGCTCCTGCCAAAGCAGCTGCCACTCCCTCTGGGCGCCCTTCATGACTCCGCTGTTCTCTAGGGCTCGGCGGGACAGGTAGGGCAGCACCTCCATCACAGGGCCGTAAGGCACGTACTTGTACACGGGGAAGCCTGCCTGGCCTGCACACAGGGGTGGAGGCGGTGAGTCCCAGCGCCTCTGCCCCTGCCCCCCGCCCCCCATCGGAAGCCCAGCTCACCTAGCGGGAAGCTTATCTGGTCGCACATACCCAGAAGCTGTCCAAAGTACACCTGGCAATCGGCGGGGTGCAGGCCCAGTTCCTCCATCCTGTGAACAGGCAGGGCGGTGGGTAAGACCCTCCCTCCACCCCCAGATCCCCACCCACAGGGTAGGGCGTGGGCATAGGCTCTCTCCTGCATAGACCAGGCCTCTACCCTGCTGCTGCCTCAGCCCAAGGCCACCAAGTGCCCCCCTTCCCCAGCCAGCCTCCTTCTTGCTGTGCTTGCTCCCCGATGGCCCCTTCCCTGCTGCCCACTATGACCCAGCAAGGCAGACTCACCCAGTGGCCAGCCCTTGGTGTGGCCTGGGAAGCTCTCAGCCCTCCCACCATCCCCTTCTCAAACCCCTCAGAGTTCCGTTGCCTCTGTGTTCCCAGCCCTGCGACCCCACCTCCAGCTTCTCATCCTCCCCTTGCTGGCTGCCCTGTCTGTAAGGCAGTCACCAGCTACTGGTGGCACCTGAGCCTCTGGAAGGCGGGTGGTCTGAATTGAGGTGCACTGCAAGTGTCAAACACACATGGGCTTTTGAAGACAGTATGAAAACTGAATGTAAAATATCTCACTGTTTTTCTGAAAACATGTTTAAATGGTACTATTTTGGATATGTGGGGTTAATTAAAATGTATATCAAAATTAACTTCATTTTTTTTTAATGTGGCTATGAAACATTTGGGGTTAATAAATGTGGCTCGAATTTCTATTAGTGCTACTCAGACGTTGAGGTGGGGGCCCCCAAATCTGTCCACACCCTCTCCTAGCCTCACACCTCCCCTCGTAGGATCTTTAAAAAATTCCCAGGGTTTGAAATATCTGTGCATTAATGACTCCCACGTTTTTACCTCTGGCTTCCTGCACGTGCAGATACAGACTCGGCCTATCAGCACCAGCACTCTATAGCCCGCCCCCATCCTTCCACCCCACAGGGGCGTGTTCTGCCTGGGTCCTCACACCCACCCAGGCTACAGACTGGGCCTGTTGGTCCCCATCCCTGCCCTTGGAGCCCCCCTCCCTTCTCCTCACTGTCTCAGGACCCCACCTCAGGCTTCCAGAGCACTTAGCGCCTCTTACCCTGGGCCTCCACATGAGGGGCATCCCAGACCATTTCTCTCCTTCCCCCAGGGCTAGGCTCCAAGGTCAGGGCCCCAGTCTGCACAGTGTTGCCCTGGTATCCAGCTTACATGTCTCTGTCCCCCGTGAGAGCAGGGCTGCCACCGTGTTGCTGCCTGATGGTGGTGGGATCACTCATGTGGCGTCCTGCAAAAACTGACCCCTCCCCTGCTGCTGCCCCTTCCCTGCCAGTGTCCACGCCTGCTGCCATGTGACTGTAGCTTTGCCCAGCACAGAAAGAGGCTCTCTCCATCTGGCCGGCAACATCTGGGCTGAGCATGACTTCCTTTAGCCAACAGAACGATAGCAAATGTGACATGGGCAGAGGCTTGCCTCCTCCAGGGCTTCTGGTAGCCTGAAACCACCTGTGGAGAAGCCTAAGCTGGCCTGTAGGACACCCGACATGTGATGCAGTGCCCTTTGCTGTCCCAGCCACAAATGAGGCCATTTAGGGCCAACCAGACACCATGTGACCACGGATGCAGGATAGGCCCCAGGCAAGGCCAGCGAAGCAGCCCGAAGCAGAGCCCAGCCCACACTGCTGGCTCACAGAGCATACTGTGTTCAGGCCTCTGAATTTTGGGTTGGTTTGTTAACTCAGCCAAAGCTAATCCGACTGAGGTCTCTAATGTGTGGCATCAGAGGCCCACACTGCTGCCCCTGGGAAGACCAGCCCAAGGTGTTCAAGGCTCTGTGGCCCCTGGAGCAGGTGCACAGGACCTTGGCCCGGCGTGGGCCGCGGAGCCTGTGAGACGGACAAGCGCTCAGCTGGCACTCAGCATGGGGGGAGCCGTGTCTAGGGCAGGAGGCCACCGCGGCCAAGATGGGGAGGCCACACATGCTCCCAGTGGCAAGATCCAGAAATCAGGTGAAAGGAAGCCCTTCTGAGGACAGGTTATACCTTTAGACGTTTCACTGTCCTCGCCTGGTCAGTCTGAGTGGACTAGCCTGTGACCAGAACCTAAAACGGGGCAACCACAGGCTGCTGAGATGGTGATGGAAACCTCAGGAGGTCGGCACTGCCAGGCAGGGGCCAGGGCCTCTCTGTGCACATCGTCTTAGGATGGACCCTGGTGCCGGACGGACCACTTCTGATCACGGTTCCATCACAGAATTGTACTTTTAAGCCTAAGTGAGAGCCAGCTTTTAAAATTTTCAACTCAGCCCTGTGTTCCTTCAAAAGTCAAAGAAGCCAGAACTGGGGTTTCCCTGGTGACGCAATGGTTAAGAATCTGCCTGCCAATGCAAGGGACACAGGTTCGAGCCCTGGTCCAGGAAAACCCCACATGCCACTGAGCAACTAAGCCCGTGTGCCACAACTACTGAGCCTGCGCTCTAGAGCCCGTGAGCCACAACTACTGAGCCCGCACGCCTAGAGCCTGTGCTCCACAACAAGAGAAGCCACTGCAGTGAGAAGTCCGTGCACTGCAACGAAGAATAGCTCCCACTCGCTGCAACTAGAGAAAGCCCGCACGCAGCAACGAAGACCCAACGCTCGCAGCCAAAAATTTTAAAAATAAATTAAAAAAAAAGAAAAAAGAAACCAAAACAAATCTTCCCCGAGCACAAAAGGTGTCCCTGGCCATCCCACGTCCAGGGATAGGATGGGGCATCCAAGGAGGCCCCAGGGATGGAGGGAAGAAAGCAGAACAGTCCACCCGGCTAGTACGCCAGTCAGAGCCAACCACCAGCAAGGAAACAGCCTGACCCCAGCCCAGCAGGACTCCAGAGGGAGCCTGGACACAGTCTGACCTCCACCTGGCAGCCCCACTGGCCTTAGCACTCCTGTTCACAGCCAAGCAGCTGCAAGTGCAGAGCATTAGAAATCGTGGCCTTTAGTTGCTGTTTCACACCATGAAAAAGCAGCCCCAGCATGAGAAGGACAAGCACGACCATTAATGAATGGTTTAGGACGACCAGAGTCACCCTCCAGGCAGAGCCTGCAAGTGCCTCTGGGTGCACGCCCTGCACCTTCACTACTCGGCCCAAGCCTTGGGCTTGGGGTGCCCACTGTAGGAAGGGGGGACCCCTGCCTTGTTCCTGGGGAAGGCAAGGGCCAGCAAGGCCACTGCCCGCCCAGCTTCC